CATTTTTATCTTTCTGGTGCTTTTTCTTTCCGCATGGTCGCACTCGCACCTATCTCCACAACACACATACAATATTAATTGTAAGTTGGTTGACCTGTATCCATAGTAAAAAAAACGGATTAGTAAGATGTGAACCGGTCGGTTGATCTAGTTGTTGTTTCAGACGTGTTCCGAGAGAAAGAACTAGATGGTGACTCGTCTTCTCCGCAAAAGCTAATCAGCTGGGGGACAACTGAGAGGGTTCACGAATCAGTTTTGTCTTTATGAAGTTATAAATGACAAGTTTCGCGAATAGAAAGCACTACCTACTCCCCGCTTTTTTTTAAAGTTGCTATTGTGTGGGATTTTTGTGCTTGTTCTGGGGGAATTCTGTCTGAACCATCTGGCAACGCTGATACCAGAACACTCATCACGGCCGGTGCATGACGCCAGCAGCAGCCACGGCCGGTAGGTACGCGATCCGTCACCTGAGTATATTTCAGTTTTCAGGGCTAATGAACAGAGAAATCTATATGTGAAATATGTCTAATAGATGCGTAGTATAACAAATGTTGGGAGCGTATAAATGTACCAGGTTAAAAAAAATGAGATAAATCCTTCCCACCCCTTTATAACCCCGTCCCACAAGTTTTTTAACCACTAAAAGTTTTTCAAAAATGATCAGGATCCTCTGAAACGTCATAACACGAAGCTTGAGGGATTTTTACTTTTTTCGCTTTTGGTCTTTTTCTTTGCCACAACTAGACCGATTTTCAAAAACTAAGCTTTTACGACCTTGGCATAGTAGTTACATTGTGTAAAGATTTCCTCGAAACCCAAGAGTTAAAGGCGGTTATAAGATTAGCGGACAGACCGACAGACAGACAGACCGACGGAAATAAGTGACATCCCAAAAACGTAATATACCATTATCGAACATTTTCTAATCAAAAAATTGAGAATAGCCCTTCCCACCCCCCCCTCACAACACACACCCTCAAGATTTTTACCTCTAATTTTTTTCAAAAATGATCAGGATTCCCTGACTGGTCAAAAAACGAAGTTTGAGTGATTTTTACTTTTTTCGTTTTTAAGAAAACTCTGCGGCCACTGGGTCGATGCTTTTGCGTTCTTGATATAGTAGTAACATTCTGTAAACATTTTATCAAATTCGGAGCGGTTCTTCTCAAGTTATAGGCGGTTATAAGATTAGCGGACAGATAGACAGACGTAGTGGCATTTTCGAAAATTTTCGCCGTTACATCACTTTCTCGCCAGTAGGCGTAGGAAATATAATGCCTTGTTTCGTGTTTGCAACTTGAAAAAAATAATTTTCTCCAATTTCATTTTCTTGTGCATTGTTTTCAAAATCTTGTCAACTACCCAATCGAACCAGCAACTAACCAGACATAGATTTTTGGAGGACCGAAGGTGGAAAGTATTTCTAGCTTTGCCAAAATCATGTAATTTAGGCCCGTATCGTCAGTCGTCCCTACAATTGTACGGCGCGTTTATGGCCTCCTTGATTGTCATACTCGTTTCTCTCCTTCAAAAATTTCTAGATTACACTTGTCCCGTGTCAGCGTCAGCGCTCTCCTATTGTGAAGATATGTTTTCTTTTTAAATTGTAGGAAATTTCAGGCTGTTAAAACATGATATAACTCAAAAGCAAGCACAATTTGATGCAAATAGATGTTTGTGACATAACCTCAAAATAGAGCGCTGACACGGAGAAGTAGAAAACTATGACAATCAAGGAGGCCATAAAGGCCCTCTACAATTGTAGGGACGACTGACGATACGGGCCTTAAACTCCACAATGTTCACGTTGCCAAGAGATGAGAGGGGAAGTAGTTGCTGATAGTCTTCTTTCCTCCAGGTCGTAGGATTTGTAGGTATTATATACGCCATAACGATGTGGATCGGTTGCTGTGTTAAAAGCGGAAAAGTCTACAATCTGAAGGTTTGTCTGTACCTATCCATCTGTCAAGCTATTCGAGATAGCAGGTTATTGTAGAATGCCTAACTTTGCTGTCTGCACATCTAATTCCATTCGTATAAGCTTCTAATAAATACGCAATCGGGCTTACAAAATCGGCCTCAAAACCTGTCTGGACTGCCTTAAAGGACAATTAAGTTGCGGATTAATAAGAGTAGCAAATACTTCGTGCCTCCGGGTGAACAAACGTCTACGATGGGTGGAAATGGAATGCAATGATGTTCATCCTTGATGAAGCATCTTCGACTACTCTGCAGGGGGATGCAGTTAGCACCTCAGTAGTATTTTAAAACATATTCGAGAGTCTCGGAAGGTTGCTTTTTTAGAACTGTGGGATAGACAAATACATTCTATTGGTGCACAAACGAATGCAATGATGTCTATGAATGAAGCACCTCTGACGATTCTGGAGAGGTGTGAAGTTAGCCCCCGTAGTAATATTAAAAAAATTAAATTTGTTTAGATCTGCAGGGTGGACAAACGGACTACGATGGGTGGACAAACGGATGCAATGATGTTCACCCTTGATGAAGTGTATCCGGTGATTTTGTAGGGGTGTGAAGCTAGCCTCATACTGGATTCTTGTAAGAAAGGATATTTGTAGGCTTCAAAAGTTGCTTTAATCAATTCAGTGGATGGATCATGTGTTTCAAACGGTCAGCAAATATCGAGAACTAGTTTTATTCCTAACAAATCATTATCGGCAATTTTGAAGGCATTTGAGATCAGCGTGGACCGATCTTTTTTCCCATTTCTACCAAATTCAAAAGGTGGGCAAATGAAACTAAATGCTGGACAAATGTGGACTAACGATGGATACACGAGAGAGCAAAACGTTTTATTCGATAAGCGAAAATTTTGGGGCTGCGTGAATTTAGTCCCAAAATCAATTTAATTTTTATTTTTTGAGAATACGAATAGTGGACAAATCAAATGAATTGATGCGCAAATGTTGGACAAACGAATGACATAAATGAATTCCTAGTTCCCGATTTTTTGGGGCTAACTTCACACCAACGCTTTATGAAAGTATCTTTCATGGTGGTAAGAGCACTAATGCAGCCTATTCAGTGTCTCGCTTCTCAAAAGTTCTCTCTGAGTCCGCCTTTTGGCCCCTTGATATAATTTGCTACAGGCTCCGCGATGGTTTAATCCGGCACACTGGTGATAAGTCAAAGAATGGGTAAGACACAAACATTACTGGAACTGAGAAAGTGGAAAAGAACATACCGGGATTGTGGGGACATGAATTAGCTTACCAATAAAACCAACCAAACTGTCTGAAAGCTCGCACAAAATAATGCTACAGAACTCTGTTTTTCTCATATGTAAAAGTTACTCTTTTTTGACGTTTCAGCCACCCCGGTGGAATTGTGTCAAAGTAATTTCTATATATGGGGTTTTGTTTGCCCAGAAACATGTCGGGGACCGCAGATAATGTCAAAAAGGAACAGATCCGATGAGATAATAACCTTTTAAAAATTTCACACCAAGTATCTAATATGGGGGCCCAAACAAATCTTTGTGAAACAACCAACTTAATATTGTGCAAACGCCACGAACGAACTGGAAAACTGAGGGAAACCCATCGGTTGAAGTTATCAGATTATCTCACTTTTGCAGTTTGCGCATCCAACGTCATTCCAGAACAAAACTTACAAAAGGGTGCCTTCCAATCTGTGTTCTTGTAGAGTTGCTAAAGGAGTGCCCAGACGAACAGTTTTTCTAGACATGCGCTACCGGTACCACGCTGTTATAAAGAGCGCAGCAGGTATTAAATAACTTTGGTCTCGATGGCAACCTGCTGGCTGACGCTGAAGGTCGTTCAACTCGGACACTTCCGCTTCTTGGCTGGGCTTGAAGCGGTCGGTGTCTTCTGTTTCTTCAGCTTGGTATGCGAATGGGCCTCATCGGCCGCCTCGGGGTACCATTGTGGGTACCACGAGGACCGGCGACCGACAGGTCACACTCTCATGTGTTTGTTTACTTATTTCCAGGTCGCACTGCTGACATGCCGACCCATGCATATTCACAGAGATTCGCGTTATGAAATATGACAATAAAATTTATTTGCATACTTACTCATAGCGAGAGGACGAGAACTTCGTATCTTATTCATTGCTTTGCAGGTTGTTGAAGATTGGTATAGAGGTATATCATATTATAATTATTCCTAACCTGATATCGATCATGTTTTTTTATATACCGAAGCAGTCGCACAGAGCTCCTCAGCTGGTATGAGGAGCTACTTAAGGACAATGCCCAAAGGCCTCACTGTTCTACTAATTTTACAAAAAAAATATGAAAAATAGCTGAGAATCTATCTTAAAAGCGTGCAATTTGTACTAATTACATATCGCAATCGTAGTTAAATTGAATATTATTAAAAAATAATATGATTTGAAAAGTCGGTGCCAAAACCGGACATGCAATATATATACGTATATATGTAATCAGTTGGCCTATGCACACAGAAATTATTTTATAATTGCTCAGCGATAAACACTCCAATATAGGGTCAAATGGTGCAAAAATGAGACGGCCGAAATTTCGGTCAAAAACAAGACATCAATTTTTCCCAATGCAAAAAACAATAACATTGTAAAAAATACGTTACAAATTACTTCCACATATATACAATTGAAATATGTAATGAATAATAAATAAACGTAAACACAAACATCGAGAAAAAAACTATCGCATCTGATTGTGCATTTTGCTGAAAAAATCTTTTAAATTTTATTTACAAACTTTTTCTGTTGCGCCATTGTAAGTGATCGTAGAGACTCGGCAAGTATCGCGTTTTCAAAATAACAAATGCGGCTTTGATATTCCATATCGAATTTAGTCTATTTTTATTTGTTAGCAAGCAGGCACGTCGTGAATAACAGGTGCAAAAACGAGACATCACAAAGTTTAAAAACAAGACACCTGCCAGGTAAAGAACAAGACAGCTTTTATACCTTTGATAATAATGCGGAAGGTTTACGTTCCCAAAAAGCGCCCCTACTACGAAAAAGACATGGAAACAGCCCTAAAACTAATAGATAATGGCACTTTATCTCTTAGAAATGCAGCTAAACAGTTTAAAATTGACAAAACTGCTCTGTCGAGAAGACGTACTCGTTCACTTGGTAAACAGGGAAGAAAAACTTCTCTAACCAAAGAAATGGAAGTAGACTTAAGTGATAAGATCAAAATTATGGCAAAATGGGGGTTTGCTCTCACTAAACCAGAGATACAAGCAATAGTTCAAACCTATGTACAAGAAAACCACCTTACTACCCAGTTTAAGGAAGGAAAGCCCGGGAAAGATTGATTTAAACATTTTTGTAAGCGCAATAGACTAAGTCAAAAAACGCAAAAAACACAAGTTTACTAGGTGGCACAAATCCTTAAAGTTTTTGAGAGCGATGTAGAAGTAAAATATCTGAGGCGCAAAGGATTTAAATTTATTTTTCCGGCCATTGAGGAAGAGTACTTCATCAACAAAAGTGACATAGAAATGAAACTTCCCCAGCCAGAAATAGAAAGTAAGACCTGTCGTATCTCTCAGCAATAATGGTTTCCTATCGACTTTGAAAAATACGTCGTTCAATAATATGTAGTACAAAATACGTTAGAATAATAAGTTTTCTACTTTAGCTCTTAAAATCCTATTGAAAATCTTGTTTTACCCCTTTTTTGAATTAGGTATGGTTTATTTAACTTGTTTTTGGATTTGTTTTTTTTTTTAGTTTAATAAAAATAGTTTTGTATTTAATTATGTGAGTTTTCTTTAAGAACGTTGTCACAATTTACTATGTTATTTGACTTACTAAACGCTTTAAAACCCTTGCAGTGTGTCTCGTTTGTATTCCCCAGGGTCTCATATTTTGCCACACTGATGTAAAATGACCAAAAGGCCAGAAAATACAATGTCTTGTTTTTAACCTCTCACTGTCTCATTTTTTATACTACATGGCTTTCTATATACAGGGCAATATAACAAAGCCTTAAAGTCCGGTTTTTTGTTGACAAAAAATTAAAAGATTTAAAAATCGTCTCGTTTTTGCACCACTTGACCCTATACACTTTTCTGCTCCCTGCCTTCTTCCATCCTATCTTTGTATTCCGAAAGGCAGGCATAGCTTTTGCCATTCTAGACGGACTCCATGTCATTTCACTAGTTTTTCCCAATATATTTTTCATTCTTAACATTGCAATGAGTGCTGTAAGGAATAAATAGTACATTAGATACCTTGGTAGAGAAGTAGGCCGTTATTGGACGAGCTTTCTTATGTCCTGAGGCGCAACAATAAAGGTCTTCTCCATCGAGGTATACTTATTGTGAAGTACATCCTATTAAGGGTATTTTCATGTAACTATTGTAATGTTCGTAATAAAGCTTTACTAAGTCACAAATATAAAATATGTATGCTAGGTGACAAATATACGCCAAGTGCCTTAGAGGCAACAAAGTTACTGCAATGTTGCATGCATCACGAAACTTTTATCTGTTGTAGCGTGATGACCCAGGAGGGCCAGGGACCATTAGTTGCCAGCTAATATTCATGCATTTTTGATACGTTAATTACGGAAGTAATGTCGAGAAACCATGTTGTTTGAAATTTCAGGTATACGAAAAATTTAAAGATCATTGGTGATAAAAAATTTTTAACAGCGATTTATTATGAGAAAGTAAAAATTGCTAAAAAGGTTTGGGTTTAAACGGTTATCACCTTAAAAAATCTTAAGAAAATAGGAAAATGGAATTTGGAAACGTTCTGAAATATGTATTTTCTATTTTCTCGTAACTCATATGTTACAGAGCTGGTTTTCAAAACTTGTAAAGCGTTCCTTTCCTTGGCATGGTAGCATCGGCGCCCTCAGGAATTTTTCTTAGGGGGGGGGGGGCGATCGTTGACAACAGATAACTTTTTGTGATAGTGTACAACTTTTTGAAGAGCGGGTTGTAGCAAAATTTCCCAGAGTGGGGAAAATCTGAAAAATCCTCAAAATTGTTCACGGACCCGCCTTCCCTGCGGGCGCTCAAGCATGGTAACAAGGCTGTTTCAAAGCTTGATTGCCCGACGAAAAATAAGTAACGTGGTTTTTAATGATGTCTATGTGACATAATATAAAAAAGGCCTGGTAATACCTCGGATCCAAAATAGTATAGCGATTACATACTTACAGTAAAAGTATTAAGTATCAACCTTCTCAACCTTAGTTACTCCTATTATAGTCGTAGTTTACTATATTCCCTTCCAGGATATTCCAAAAATTCATGTTGGCGCGTTTCGATCACTGAACCACACGGGCGCCCATATAGCAAAATTCAATGGGGGCATGTCGGCGGTTCCATAATAATAAAATCAGAATCGTGAATTTTTAATAAGAAATCGACCTTGCAATTCCTATTTCTCAGGCTATAGCTTGTGAGGTGCCTCTAGATTTGTGTAGACAGTGTGAGTAACACTGGTGATACTAAAATTTTATAAAGTAGAAATGGCGGATTTTAAACGCAAACTTCAATATTTCACAGCATACAGCCCAAACAGCTTGATGGATTTTGGATTCGTCTTGAGGGCACAATTGATTCCTCACTCTTTTTAGTTATTGCAGTCCTATTTTTTGTAATTTTTGAAAATGAGCATGTCTAGTTCTTTATGGGCTTGAGCGTCTATTTCTCCATAACTTGGATCGAACAAAGTCATTTTCGCGGATGTTTTGACAACAAGAAAACACACCCACCGGGCTTTCGTTGCTTGAGAATCAGATGCCCTATTAGGTATATTTTACTTCTCGAACACCCCCTAATGGTTACCTATGCTGAAACATGTTGATTATACAAACAAACGAATTTCTTTCTCATTACCTCATAGCATACTAGTGAAAGAAATATAATAACGTACAACTTACACGTATGTTTAAACATTTATGGTGATAATTAAACACTTCGTACTATGTCATCAATTACTGTATATCTATGTACAACGCACAAAATATTCCAATGCGTGCAACTTATGCATGTCACCAGGAACTTTGCACTGCCTGAATATGGTTAAATGTCGTAATGTGTAACAGTTGCATTGTTAAGGAATTTTACACCAACGCTCTCTAATTAAAGTAAGAACGGACGGTATTTTAATTGTTCAGGTATAAGCTACACAAGCGCTTTTCTTTAAGCATTATGCAAATTCCTTTTCACCATCATTCCCTTCACTGGTGCACACGCACCTGTTACCACTTTTACCATTATCATGCAGGAACTAAAGCGCGTCACACACTGGAGATACGTCCCATGAATTTTGCTTCACGAAACACGAAATCATCATAACGACCTGTCATTCTCTTACACGCAACTGTAAGCAATTTTATTACCATTGTCAGGAGGAACTAAAGCGCATCACACACTACAGAAGTAAACCTCGTCAAATCTGTTTCGTGAAACATACTTTTTTTCATGATCACTCACACACACGTGCGCGTGCTTATATGACTCACTACTGACTGATGTGTAAACAGGACTGTTGAAACATAAATTTTGTTGTACTCAAAGAAGCAAACATTAGTACTCATAAAAAATGGCGTCAAGTAGGTTGACTCTGAACTTCTTACGCAGCGCTGATATCTGTTAAAATTTGCATATTTACCATGCTTTTCTGTACAATTTTGAGCCTCTCTAGGTGGATTTTTCTCGCCCAGTAAAATATACAACCCCTTGCAATTCAAAAAGTGCTGGAGGCAGGACGCTTTCATATAGAATTATCTCTTGGCAGCCCCCTTTCCCTGATAAAAATTTATGCGGGCGCACATGATCTGGCTTGGATCCTACACATGCATCTGCAGCACCCTTGATTTTCAAAAATAATCAATTCCGTCTGAAACGTCAAGTTTGAGGAAGTTTTATTTTTAAAAACTACAAATCTTTTTCGTCATTGGCACAATAATAATTTTGTGTGGAAATTTAAAAACTGATACTTTCCAAGTTATAGCGGGGTCAAGGATTAGCGGACAGACATACAGACAGACCGAAGTGAGTGAGATGAGATCTACATGTCATATATCACCAAAAGAATATAATAGCATGTTTTAGAAATGTTTCATTTCCCCAATATTTCCTCGCCAGTGGCGTAGGAAGCATTTGCTGCCAAGTAAAAGGTAGAAATAAAAGCTTCTAGTTCAATCCGTATTCATTATCCTTTTCCCCCCATGTTTGTTTGGCCGATATAGGGAACTACATATGCTTGAATTACTGTTTACTGTCACTGAGTTTGGGCCAGCACGGTGGATTTTTCTATGTATTTTCATGAATCTAATGCTCTATACGTCTGGTCGAGCATCAACAGGATAATGAAAGGATTTGTATATTTGAAAACTTCATGTATATGTAAGTTTAACTGTTGTAGAATGACTATATCCGTTGCGTTGTTTATTTATTCATCTTCTGTGGAATGTTCGTAGAAACATTGCAAAACCTAGTCAATAAAATATTTGTGTATTTTCTTATTTGTATCAGTAACACTAGCTTGCAGATCTAGGACACCCTTATTGCCAAGCTTTTGATTGCTGTATTGAATCTTCTGGAGGTCGTATAAGTAGGTCAAACCGAATATTAAGGTTCCTGATTTGCCACTATAATACCTCAATGCAGTAAAATAATGTTATGAGCAAGGCCAATGTGAATTTGCAGGAATGGAAACAATCACCATCGCAGGGTTGCAAGGTACAACGACGCCAACGTCGCCAAAATTTACAACTACATATTTCGTTTCTATCGCCATATTTGTCGCCAACAACATTACATGTAGGATCTTAAATTGATAATTATTCGGCGAGAACTCAGGGTGAGTGGCAGTATTGTTATTTGTGCTGGTTTTGAATGTATAGAAAATACCTAAATATAATACCTATCAGATCTAGCTGGAATGGACTGATCGAAGAGTATTTGATTGTCAGAAGTGATATATCAAGACCATCAAGGACTATTGTATCTTCGAATTGCTAATAAAGTATCAGAGAAGTCTGATATGCAGTAGAATATTCGTCAAATTGCCATGCCATTTTTTGGTTAATTAATAAAACACAATGATATATACTATCTAACGGTTGGTCGAAGCAAAAGTCTAGTGGCGTGCAAATTTAGGCCCTAGCTCAACAAAGCGGAGAGTAGGGGGGGGGGTTAAGAGCGCCAGTGACTTAGGACGGGTTAAGCCACAACTCCCCGAGATGTTAGTCGGAACTAAAAGGAGAATCTAACAGAGATGACGAAATTTAAGTAACAGTACACACAGAGAGAGCCAAATAAAACAAGATATTAAATGAATCACAATATATAGATCTCATTTTTTCTAAAAATTCAAACAGTGTTGTAAAA